AGATGCTGGCTTTCCTTCCATCTTGCTGGTGGCACTCATGCTTTTGGAGAACTGATTGATCTGCAGTTTCCCTTTGGGCTATTATAATAACAGATGTTTAGGTGGCTTATTGTTGATCTTGTTCCTCCTGTCACAGCAACGTATGCTCAAGACTTGGAAGTTAGGGGGGTGTTTGTTGGTGATTTAGAGGGCCAGTCCCCCAGTAACTGTGTCTTCCGTTGCATTTCCTCCTAGTTGTGGGAAGTTGTTTAGACCAAGTAACCCTATATGTATATATATAAGTTTATTTTCTTTCTCCGTGTGCCATTGTTTGAGCTTGGGTTTCCTGTGTATGGAAAAACCACACAGCCCAGGCACAGCTAACCAAAAGGAGACGCTTTCCCAAGGCTGCTGGGCACACACAGATCCTGGGATTCATTTTTGTTCCCGGACTGCTGAACACACCCTGTTCTCATCTGGGTACCCCACAGGGACTGCTATGGAGTAACAAGTTGTGGAAGAGGATTCTTATTACATCTTTCCCACAAACAGAGGCCCCCTCCTGCCCCTATTGCAGTTCCCACAACTGCACTCATCCAGACTCACTGCCACGAACCTATCTTTCCATCATCAGCAGAAAGATATCTAGAATTGCAGTATGCCTGAAATTGCCCACAAAAGGAGACAGGAGCACAGGAATATTCTGAGTACTAGAAGAAACAACATGGTAGATCAAGGGCTCCAAGAGTGGTAAGAAAATGCTGTAAGAAAATTGAAGAGAAAGGCGATCTCTGCCACACAGTTTTATTCTGTCTAATAAATATAACACTGAAGATAATCCCTCAAAGGTGCAGCAAAGCAAACAAATAGAGTAATCTTGAACAGGAGTGGGAAGAGAGGAAACCTGCAACTTTTAATGGAGAAGCCATTCCTTTCCTTTGGGGTGATCTTGCTGAGAAGCCTGTTGGCTCTGCAAGTGGCCCTTTTTGAACTTCCCAGTTCACAGCCAAGTCCTGTTGCTCTTCAACGGTAAGAGGTTTGTTGTGGTTGGAGGGATAGAAGAATCCCCATTTTTAATAAGATGATTTGCTTTGCAAATGTCTTTGTTATTTATAGCCGAGCCAGGCTTTGAACCGCTAATCTCTGGAGGATGAGGGCAGAATCCCACAAAGAAAAACCATTAAT